GCCGAGTGCTTACTCAAACCCTTGTTCTTCCTTGTTCTTCCTGGACTTGTGAAGAGATTTCTCTGGGATCCACTAGTTCGTGCTTTGCGGGTTCCGGTACGGCTACCCCGCCTTGTGTGGATTAGCTCTGGTTGTGGTTCTGCGGTCATTCGGAGATCGAGTCGGAGTCTTCGTGGTTTCGATGTCTCTCTTCCCGTCGCTTGGTCGCATCCAGCCTTGGCCAGGTATAAAGCTAGTTACCCCGCTGTTCTTCAGCAAGTTACCTTTGTTTCCCGCTGCCTTATTGCAAGATATCTTGATTGAGACCTACTGTCATGAAGATCGGGCCAACTCCCGTACTGAAATAGTTTTAGTACCTATCAAGGGGAGTCTACAAAAAATTAAATAAGCTGAAACTAGCGTTGTTTGTAGAATAACCATTGAGGTATATAAGAAGTATTAAATAAATAAATAAGAAGAATAACAAACCTATTTCTTCTTCTGAACCACTATAGGCCTTCCGAAGGGACACGATCTGTGATGACATCCTCCATACTAATTCCTTTTTTGGGATATCCATGTGCCACTTCCGAGCTCACCCATAGGAAAGAATAGAGGGTTTGAAAGAGCATCATAACATCCATGATACGAAGCGAATGTCATGGCTGCTTCTATCTTTTCCATTTAGGACAACACTATATTGGAACTGACCAAGGAGTTCGCTTTCCTCGATCCAAATAGCAGCCACCTCTAAAGCTAATGGCACGTTGTATGTTCTTTAGTCTAGTCTCTGGTCAAGGTTCAATGTGATACGATAGTCCTTGAGGTGTTCAGTCTGGCCCATACTCCTAAGATGCTGTGAGTGTGGGTTGTCACGAAGGATGGTCACAAGCCTCTCAATAACTTCTTTGTATTTTTGGCACTACTCTTCACAACACCTTCGATATCGGTGATTAAGGCTGGGATCGTCATCATAGAAGTAAAGCTCTAGATGTCTTGGCTCCTTACCATCTTCTTTCCCAAATGACCTTATGTTATGATAGATCTGGCCGTGTGCACGGAAGGTGTATATGCCACTATTTCTCATGCTTGCAGTAGCGCTATCGAGGCGATAGTATAAAGAAGTGAAAGAGAAATGTCCATTGAAAAATCTGATGTTGTTACGGAAGTGCCTAGCATCTACATTGGCACTTGACCAAAGCCTTATCATCTCATCAGGTATGTCTGGTGCATTAAGCTCGACCTTTCCACTGCGACAACAGAACCCACGTGGTTCATGTTCAAACTTCTTCGCACTGCAGTGAGGACAATCTGTGATAGGTTTTAGCATATGCGTATCTGCAACACAAAGATCATGCAACAAGCAAACATCACAGCAAGCAAAATCCTGCCAAATTAGTTTAGAAATTTGAAAATCACATTTTTCTATAACTAATCTTGGGAAATTTGATCCAAATGTTAAAACATTTATTGTAATTAGTGTTTTCTATGCACAACCCAAAATCAGAAATTTTAGGGTGTGATGATATATTAGCAGGGTTTTATATATATAAAAAAAGTATTTGCAGTTATACTTTGGTTACCGCATAGTATGCCTTTTTCAGATTTACAAAAGTTTTTCGTAAAAGAAAGATTTTATAACATATATCATCGGTTACTAAAAATTGGTAGTGTTCTAAAAGATATTAGAAATAGAATTTGTAGCTTTAATGTCACCCATGGCGTATAGATCTGAGTGGAGGTCTTAAATTATACTTCCTCTGTTCTAAATTATAAGATATTTTATTTTTTGTAGGTATCTAGATGTAATGTATATCTAAGTGCACAGCAAATTTTACGAATCTAGAAAATAAAAATGTCTTATAATATGAAATGGTAGGAGTAGGTGCTAAAGTTTAGAGGTGGCATTATACACTAAAGCAGTGGATCTAAGGTCATGGCTTAATTTAGTCGGTTATGGGCTATATGCTAGTGTCATATCACCAAAGCTGATCTAATATTCCGCTTATACAATATACAGTTAGATCTTGATACATATTACATTATTTTAATACATGACTGATGACTCACCCATTCTCTGGTAAAAGTTTATTAGAGCTCGTGTTGTGGTAAGTTTGTAATCCGTTTATATCTTTACTCCTCTCTCTCCAACTATGTACAAATCTGACGTGGCAACTGTCAACCCATCGCCCTATACGTTTAGGTTTGTTTGGCTTATAAGCTATGGCTGAAAGTACTCTTAGCTGATTTCGTGTGAGAGAAAAAATATTGTTCGTTGGTGATAAGCCATGGCTTATAAGCAAGCGAATATGACCAAGCGAACAGGCATATCTCCTGCTTATATCACATTATATTTTTCTCATAAAGAAGAAAATAACGTAGAGAGAACAAGGTGAGAGATTAGTGTTGCATTGGAGAAAAAGTGCAACCCACATTATAAAACAAACAACACTACACTTTAGTAGTTGTAGGACCCACCTTAAAGTCACGGAGACCTTTTGTTAAGAGTAATACACACACGGTTAAAAACATATATAATTATAAGATTCGTGCCAATCAAATAAGCTCAAATTTAATCAAATTTATAGTAAATAGTATTATCAGTTATGTTTCCAAATAAGCTTATTATAACAATACATTCTACAATTAATTTAGTGGTACTTGTTTTGTATTATAAATGTTAGACTTTTTTATAACTTTAGTCGAAATTTAAATCATCTGACTCTTTAGAAAATGAGCATTGTTTTTTTAAGGATGTGGGGACAAAAGTGTTTTTCTTAACGGGCCAGGGAAAGTGTTATGGCTGGGATGTCATATGTGTGTCTTTATTTAGTATAATGTTAAAAGGTAAAAACAAAGAAAGAGTAGCACTTACATTGTCCAAAAAAGAATATAATTATAAGATTCATGCCAATCAAACAAGCTCAAATCTAACCAAATTTATAATAAATAGTATTAACATTTATATCTCCAAATAAGTTTATCATAAAAATACATTATGTATTTAGTTTAATGGTTCTTAATTTGGATTATAAATGTTGGACTATATATTTTATAACTTTAGTCAAAATTCAAATCATTTAACTCCTTAGAAACAAGAATTGCATTTTTTTAGGACACAAGGAGTATTGTGTACAATTTTGTTGATAAACAAAAATCTTCTAAATGAGTTGTTTTAGTAGTAGTAAAGCTTTTAGTAGACTATGTTGAAGATGCTTTTAGAAATTTTTAATCAAACTTCAAAAATTATGGTGGATAATGTTTATCAGATTATGTGGTCGGTAGGACAGGCATCCAGACTTCAAAGCCTACAAAGCATATTGTAAAAAAAAAGACTACTCCCTCCGTTAAAAAAGAATGCAATTCTCGCTTTCCGAGAAGTCAATTGATTTTAACTTTGACCAAAATTATGCAAAAAAAAAAACTAACATTTATAATACAAAATAAGTATCAATAGATTCATGATGAAATATATTTTCGTAATAAATCTTGTTTGAGATATAATTGTTAATACTAATCACTATGAACTTGGTCAAACTTTAGCATATTTGACTGACACGAATTTGATAGTTACGTTCTTTTTGAGATTGAGGGAGTATAGAGCAAAGCCATTGTAAAAAAAAGACCCACATGTGAATCCCAGCCCTAAACACTTTCCCTGGCCTGTTATTAAAAAAAAAGGGAAAAAAAAGACACTTTTAATGGCGGGAGGGTTCCCGGTCAAGGTCCATCTTCCAGCGCGCGTACCTCCATTTGGCCAGTGACGCAGCGGCACAGACCCACACCACACTGCCTCCGCTCTAGTGACACGCGTGCACGTTGGATCCGCCACGTGCAGGCGAGACCTAACACCAGTGGAAGTCTGACAGCATGGGACCGCTGCCTCGAATCACGAAAACACTGAGCAGCACCGATCCACGAGCAGTTGAGCTGCACTGTTCGCTCAGTCTCAAAATAACTATTTTTCTCAAAGTCATTTTTAAAATTTAGAAAACTTATTAATATATTTATATTTATGACGTATATTATTAGAATAACTATGTAACATATTTCTATATAAATATATTATTATAAGATATAAGTATTGATAGTATTCTTATAAATGTAGTCAAATTTTAGAAAATGGCTTTTTTGAAAAAAATAAATATAGTTATTTTAGAATGAAAAGAAAGCAAATACTTCCTCAATTCCAAATTATAAGTCATTTGAAGAATCTTGGAAAGTTAATAAATCTTAAGTTTGACCAAAATTATAGAGAAAAATACAAAAATTTATACCATCAAATAAGTACACTATGAAAATATAATTATACAAAATCTAATGATACTTAGCGATATTATAAGTATTATTATTTTATCATATAAATTTAGTCAACCTTAAAATGATTTCACTCTCCCAAGTTTCTTGAATGACATATAATTTGAGGCCGAGCGAGTTAATGATTGAAAAAGCAAACTTAGTTTGTGTCAACCACCTAAATCAAATACTATGATATATGTGCATTCTTTTATTTTATGCCATGAAAGAGACATCCTATCACTATCAGCAGTGACTAGGCAGGCATGCGCATGCATGGACTCTCTAGTGGTCACCGCTCACCGGTCACCAGAGCCACCGACGCAGCCCGTTCGTTCGTAAACGATCGTAAATTTTTAGCTAAAAATAGTATTTTTCTCTCGTACAAAATCAGCCAGCAGTAAATAATTCACGATACGATTGTGAGGCCCACCTACGTGCCACGTGCATCTCGTAGCGTACTCTTACGGGGAAGCTTCTAGGAAAGTGCGCCCGTCCCGTGTGGTGACTGAGTCTGTGACCCTGTGAGCGCGTCGCCGCTAGGCCGCTAGCGGCTCTGCTCAGCGATGATCTTCTGATCAAGATGCAAGGAACACGGTTACATGGACATGGATGCGATGCACCACAAGCAGTTCTTCAGGGGCAGCCGATTCAATTCAAGGTTCTTCCGATCAATGCAAAGGAACACGACACGAACACAGATAGGGAATCCGTACATACATCCTCTACCTACGGCTACCTACATCGCCGGATTTGGCCGCCGCCGCCACTTCCGGCAGGTCGGTCTCGAACGCCCTGACGAGGTTGCCCAAGAACTTGCGCGTCACTCCGGTGAGGTTGGCCACCTTCTGCCTGTACGCCCTGAACGCCTCGGCCGCAACAACAACGGCCGCCTCCTTGCCCTTGCCGTCGCCGAAGAGGTCCTTCCTCTCGAGCTCGGCGGCGGCGTGGAGGCACTCGAGCCAGCGGTTGGCCTGGTTCTGCAGGTCGTCGAACAGCGCGCGCTTGGCCGCGTCGCGCTCCGGGTCAGGAAGTAGCCGTACGCGTGCGCCCACCGCAGGACGCGCCGCCCGTCCGCCACCTGCCGGTACGCCTCCGACACGAACCCGAGCGCCGTGGCCGGGACGTCCGCCGCCCTCGCCATCCGCTCCAGCTCCCCGCGCTCCAGCGCCGCCGTGTCCCGCGCCACGCTCTCCAGCGCCGCCCGGTTCGACGCCCACCGCTCGTAGTGGTACAGGTACCGCTCCAGCGACGCCCTGGCGCGCCGCCGCTTCAACCGCTCCTCCTCCGCGCTGGCGGTGCTCGCCGCCGCCGCGGCCATGTCGTCGTCGGCGTCGGCGCCGGAGCGCCGCGGGCGGCTGTCGTTGCAGGCGTAGTGGTCGGCCCCTCCCGCCGGCTGCAGGCAGAGCCAGCAGAAGTGGTGGCCGCACGGCGGCGAGCAGCGCATGTGGTTGCAGCCCTGGTTCTTCTCGATGGGCCGCCCGCACTTGGGGCACGCCTTGGTGTGCGCCACCACCCAGTTGGCCGTCTCCGCCGAGTCGGAGCTGTTCTTCACCAGCCACGCGCGCACCGTGCCGCACGACACCGGCCGGTGCGCCTCCTCGCCGCAAGCCCAGCAGACCCCGTGCCCGCACTCGCAGAACACGTCCTTGTCCGCCGCCGCGGCATCGCCGAGAACTCCAGGGCGCAGGCGCACCCGGCGCCGCCGCACCACCGCACCTTCCCCCCGCTCTCCTCCACGTACGACCGGAGCCAGAACCGCGCGTACCGGACCCCGTCGTCGTCCGCGCTCCCCCCCGCCGCCGACAGCACCTCGTCCACGAGCTCCCGGACGACGGGCGCCGAGCAGGACGGGTCCGGGCACAGCAGCGACAGGCACCGCGGGCCGTCGCCCACCGCGGCGCGGACGTACCCGCGCCAGCACCCGTCGCAGTAGTAGTGTTCGCACCCCGCCGACGCCGTCCGCCCGGCCGGGTACTCGTCGAAGCAGATGCCGCAAACGACGCGTGGCCCCGCGCCGCGCGCCGAGGGGACGAGCTCCGGGGGCAGGCCGACGGCGCCGCGCACGCGCCGGTCGTCCGTGAACCACTCCTCCTGGACCCGCTCCACGCGCCACTTGAAGTGGCGGAGCAGGACGGCCGCGAACCCCGGCGGGATCGACAGCACCTCGGCGACCTTGGCCGTGTCCGCCTCTTGCCGCGCGCGGATGTCCTCCTCGGTTAGAACCACGTACCTCTGCTCCTCCCTGGCGCGCGCCGCCGCAGGGGTGTCGTCCTGTGCCTGCTCAGCTCCTTCTCTTCTCCTTCGCCGCTGTCGTCGTCGTACTCGTAGATGTAATCCTCCTCGCCAGCGCCGTCGTCGTCGTCGCAGTCGTCGTACTCGCACATGTAATCCTCCTCGCCGGCGCTGGAGCCGGAGCGGTGAGGCGCTGCCTGAGCATGCCCTCCGCAAGCGTCGCCGCTCTCTCCGTCGTGGCGGCCGCCGGAGGTAGGGGTACCTTCGCAGATCTTGCGGCGGCGGCTCGTCTCGCCCTTGTCGTCGTCATCGTCGTCCGCAAAGCTGCTGGCTTTTCGGGACCTCTTGTTACAGGCGCCGGCGCCGGCTCCGCCGCCGTGGTGGTCGCTGCTGCCCATGCCGCGCCGCCGGGCCGGGCGGCGGTTTCTTGGTGGGGGCTTTGGACTCCTAACCGCGTTCCGTCGGCATGTAGCGGTGTCCTCGTAGTTCCCCGGACTTTTTTGGCTTTCGGCCGAGGATAGGAAGATGGTTTTAATAAATAAAAGATCTTAACGAGTAGTAGTACTAGGATTTGATGTCCTACTCCTACAGGAATTTCGATAAAAAGGAATTTCCATGTATGTATAAAAAAACTATCGAAACTTAGCTCTGAAGTAAACAAATGCTGCTGGCCGCACACGATACGGCACATGCTGTTGCGGTGGTGGCTGCTGACATGCATCCCCGCATCCACGAGACAGCCGTTCATTCACATGCCTTTCTAATACTGTACCCATTAATTTTAGGAAGATGCTATATTGCAGGTGCCTTAATATTTGGATATTTTTATGTAACAATTTTATATAGACAGCTAGTACAAGTAAAAGAATAACTTACAAGATATAATTTATAGTTTTTTTTTGGAAAACCAAACAATGATAAAATTGTCTGTTGCTTGAATAACAATGAAAAAAATCAGATATATGAGATATGAAAAGAGTGTTAATTTTGAAGATTATATTAATATCTGTAACGGTAACTGAAGTAGTACAAAATCTTTTGCAAATACTAGTGTGCTTCATTATAATTTTTTTAAAAAAATAAAGGAAGTATTACCTCCATCCCTAAAAATACATTTAAGGTATCCGCGCTTGTTAAAATGGTTTAAGTTAGCCAAGTTCAAAATAAATAGTTTTCACATTTATGTCTCCAAATCAATTGATTAGAAAAAATATATTTTTAAATGATCTAATAATAACATATATTGTAGATGTTAATATTTTTTTCTAAAATTTTAATTAAATATGAAAAAGCACTTTATTCTCGAAGCGTGACAACTGCTTTTTTTTATACGAAACTCTAGTATATTTAATATTCTGGCCCTGTTCGTTTTTCTTATAATCCATCTTTTTCAGCTTGTTTTTTCAGTCAAAAGAATATTTTTCTCTCACGATAAATCAGCCGAAACAGTATTTCGACTTATTTTTTTAGCGAAGCGAACGGAGCGGAGAAGGGAAAAAGCTGTTGAAGACGTCATCAGCACTTGACTCTACTTGAGCTGGTACGGTGCTGCCTCGTCAATCGTATCTTGTATGGATACGGTCGTTCTTGCTGACGGATGAAACATGACTCACTGTAAGAACTGTCGGATGTTTTGGAGTGCGATAAAAATATTATTCGTTAGCCTAAAAAATATAGGGTCTGTTCGACAGGATTAAAAAATATTATTCCGACTGATTGCTGTGAAAAAAAATACTATTCTAATAAAACATAAACAGTGATTTCATAAGAGAAAAAACGAACCAACCAGCCAGCTTAAAGCCAGCCGGCCGGCTTAAAGTCAGCCGAACAAGCTCACAGCTTATAAAGGTAGCGAACAGGTCAAAGCTGATACAGATCCTACGGCCAAACCAAGCTATCCTACACATGACATGACACGCTCCGAGTCTGTACGAATCTTTAGGATATGATTTTCCAGTATGTTAGTACTGCTGTTCCGTGCCAAAATGATATATACAATGCTAGAAACAAACATAAGTTTAACTTGATTTATTATAGAAAACTATTATTAATATTTATAACTATACTATAAATATATTATTATTATATAATTAATTTAATAGTACTTATTTGGTACCATAAATACATATTTTTCTATATATATTTGATTAAATTTAAAATGATTAGGCATATTTGACCCCTATAGACAATAGCTATTGCTAATAGTTATCTCTTTTGGATCAAACAGATGTAGCTAATAAAACAGTTAATTGTTAGCTAGACCTTTAGATAATAACTTATTAGTTGCACCAAATGAGATAATAGCAGCTAATATTTATCTTAGTCGCATTTTTCATTATTTGTACATCCAAACACTCTCCAGCTAGCTAATAATATATATCAGCTAGCTAATAATATATATGAGCTATTAGCCAGCTAACTATTAGGAGATAGTGAATCCAAGTAAGGCCTTGTTTAGATCACCTCCAAATTCTAAGTTTTTTCACTCTCTTTCCATCACATCAATTTTTGGACGCATGCATGGAGCATTAAATGTAGGTAAAAAAATAACTAATTGCACAGTTTGGTTGTAAATCACGAGACGAATCTTTTGAGCCTAGTTAGTCCATGATCAGACAAAGTTTGTCAAATATAAACGAAACGTGCTACAGTGTCCAGATTGCAAAAATTTGCAATCTAAACAAGGCCTAAGACCTTATTTGACTTCCAGAAAAAAAGAGAATTGTATCTTCCTTCCCGGACCGAGGTAGCAGATAATAGACGATATTTTATTATATATTAGTGAGAAGTTCCCTCTTTAGAATTCGATTCCATAGAACCCTTTTTACCAATCTATATACTAAGTACTTGTATATGTGGAACTGGATTCCTCATAATTCCTTTTCTAGTTATATTATATATATATATAGTTCCACATATAATATATATATGGGGGATTCCTTATGTGCCATTAAAAAAAGATCATAATGTTTTGTGTGCCCCTGAAAAAGTTCAGCAGTCTTCAGCGTCACTGCTCTAACTTTTTTGTGCCCTCCATGCCACTGCCGTCAGTTTGGGCTCTAACGGCGTCAAACTGCAGGTGTGAAAAGTCGAAAATACCCTTATGTCTAAATATGTCATTAATTTTTTTAGCATCTTAACGACTTCAAATAAAAAAAACTCAAAACTAGAAAGTTGTAGATCTCGTCGAGATCTATAATTTTCATATAAAAATTATTTTTTATTTAATCCCGCAAAAAAATATGATTTGATATGATTAATATATCTTAGAAAAATCATATCTTTTTTTTTGCGGAATTAAATGAAAATAATTTTTATATAAAAATTATAGATCTCGACGAGATCTACAACTTTCTAGTTTTGAGTTTTTTCATTTGAAGTCGTTAAGATGCTAAAAAAAATTAATTACATATTTAGACATAAAGGTATTTTTGACTTTTCACACCTGCAGTTGACGGCGTTAGAGCCCAAACTGACGACAGTGGCATGGAGGGCTCAAAAAAGTTGGAACAGTGACGCTGAAGACCACTGAACTTTTTCAGAGGCACACAAGGCATTACGATCTTTTTTAATGGCACATAGGGAATTCCTCATATATATATATATATATATATATATATATATATATATATATATATATATATATATATATATATATATATATATATATATATATATATAGGGAGAGTATATTCAGTAGTCAGCTACAAAATAAGTTATTCTGTGGCCACCTGCATTTACGATAATTTTATATACTAATTTACGATAATGTAAATACATATTTACGATAGTTGGGTTACTATAACACATGGGGATATTTACTATAACGTTATAGTAAACCACTTAGTAAGGAGTTACTATAATCTCGTAAATTAACATAGTAATTATCGTAACTCAAAGTGGCTACAGAATAAGTCATTGTGTAGCCAGCTAGAGAGTAGTAGTTATATATTGACATTATCGTAAATTAGTATATAAAATTATCGTAAATGAAGGTGGCTACAGAATAACTTATTTTATAGTTGGCTACTGAATATACTCTCCCTATATATATATATATACTCCCGGGAGTAGTTACTCTTATGATTAATAAATCATGTTGTGTATGTGTACATACTCATTTATCAGTATGAGTATAGTTGATATACTCATATTAAGATACTTTAGATCTTTACTATGTGAAAATTTTTCAAAAGAGCCCATATTTTTTAATATGTTATTTAATACTATGACAATAATATATAAAACAAGTATAATCATATACTTTAAGTATACTTGCATATTTTACATACATAGTACCCTAGATGGTCTAATATGATTACATACTCCACATCTCCATACACATCGTCGGGTCATATACGCTCTAAATCTAAAGATATAGATATGGAGTAACTACTCCATAAGAGTAGCAAATAATTTCCATATATATATATATATATACGCGCGCGCGCGCAAGAGTAAGTACTCATCTAACTAACGTGGGATAGCTTATCCTCATGAGGTTTGCGGATCAAGTATGGCAGGCGGAAAACCCGGCCCGTTAATGAATATTGAATCTGTTGAGTGAACTTCGGCCAATGGCTGCGTTTTAAAAAATTTCAAATATACATATGGCACGTGGCTCTGCATGTTCCGGATGCCGCTGGTGGGTATGCTCAGATACGTAACCTTTTAGAGTATGTATGTATACATATACTAAAGTAGGTATGTGCGGGCTTACGCATAATAAAGTATGTATTCATACTTTATTTTCAAGTATGTATTCGTACTTTATTTTCATGATATAAGGAGTACATATTCATACTTTTTTTAAATAGAGTATATATGCATACTTTTTTCATGAAAGGAGTATATATTCATACTTTTTTATAAGGAGTATATATACATACTATTTTTTAATGAAAGGAGTACATATTCATACTTTTTTAAAAGGGGTATGTATGCATACTTCTTTTAAAGAAGGATTACATTTTCATACCATTAGATTGGAGTAGTCTCCTCCCTCTTTCTAAAAAAGAAATTTGTATCAACTGTACCACGACATCAAAAAAATCATGAAGTGATGCTAGATCTAATGTAATCTGAAGAAGTATCCAAGGATACTCTAGTCTAAAAAGTATCAGATGATACTCTCATCCGGAGAACAGAACCATGGAATTGCAGGCGCCATTGCTCCTGTCTCGCTCTGCTGTTGAACTGCCGGGTACAAGTTGGCAGCTTCAGATGGAGTATTTGGATATACTACTGTGGTAAAAGGATCAGAGCAGGCATGCGCATATAATATCATAGGAGTGATTTGAGAAGATTCGGAGGCAAAGGACATTACCTAGTCACCGCGTTTACTTGCCGGATGAACTGCGTGACGGGTTGGAGATGAGCAGGGCAGTTCGTCCACCCC